GTTATTTTCAGCCGAGATTGGCCCTGGCAGATTTCTTCAAGCTATTTGTAACTTCAGTCTTTGAGCAGTGATTTTTAGCAACTTAGCTTTTTATTAAGTGAAGGTTTTACTGTTTTGACTATCAGCCCATAACCTCAAGTCCCCTTAAATTAGTACCCTCCTAATTGTCTCTGTTGCTATCAATTATAGTACTTGAAAATGAACCACATCTGAGGAAGAGTTTGTATTTAGTTCAAACAACCCTTTTTGTTCCCCTGACAAGAAGTACATGTCCTGAAGTGTCATTTCAAGAGTTCTGAGGCTTCAAAAAAATATTTTCCTTTGACATATTCTTTTAGATATTACTCTTACCAGTTTTTGTTCCGTATTATTAGAAGGAAGTAAATGAATTAAGGTTAAAGACCTTGCAAAAAGCCAGCCCTTTATATTTCTAACTTCTACAGAGAAACATTTTTGCGAAAAGACATATGTAAATAAATTAGAAACAAAGGCCATGAAACATACTTACATGGAAGGAGTAGTTTTTTAAACTAAGTTTAAAATGGAATAAAAAGCCATCACAGTCTTCAATCAGTGAAAAATGACTTCAAATCTGTTCTTTTTCATGCCTTTAACAGGTAAGTCTAGTGTTTCTGTTTAACTGTAATTCACAAGCAGATGGCTCCATAGTCGCTGGTTTTGGGGTGAAAGATGCATTTTGTTCAGTTTTTTGAAGAAGCTCAAATATGTCCAGTTGAGTCAATAAGGGGGGTGTGAATTACAGTTGTGTTCTTATCCCAGGTAACTCAGGGGCCTTGGTGACAAATTTTCATCTGTGCCCACATCTACCACAGTAACTTCATTCATTCAAACCAAGTATATTGAGCCCCTGCTGACTTCCAAGGATGAATAAAATATCATTCCTTCAGTCCAAGAAGGAAGTCAAACAGAAGCATTAGCTTAGTAACAACAGAATCGAACCTTTTCGTATACAGCTAAGAACACTAAGAGTGACAAGTTTATGAGTTTGTCAATGAATGACTTCACCATGTTCCCACTGTTTAGCCTTTTCACCCCATTAGCAGGACAAATTAAATTAGATAGTCCAGTTTTATTGAATAATGATCCCATTCATGTGTATAGTACTCTTACAATATGCTGACTAACATGGCATACACTAGTTCCATGTGGCTATTTAAATTTCAGTTAATTAAAATTAAATTAATGAAAAATCAACAAAAATTACTTAAATCAGTTCCTCAGTTGCACTAGCCCTATTTCAGTTGTTCAGTAGCCACATGTGGCTCGGAGCTACCCTCTTGGACAGGGTGGACTGCAGAATATTTCCATCATCTCAGAAAGTTCTATTGAACAGCACGATCTTGAGTTTACAAATCAGTTTCAGCTACATTCTTCCCCTTGATCCTCACAATAATCCTGTAAGATGGCAAGGTGTACACTGTTATTTATATCCATAAGGATGAGGAGATTGAGGTGCCAGGGGGTTAAATAATGTGTCTTTGCACAGACTTTAACTTCTGGACCTTCCCTCGGGAGCAAACAAATCCGAGTAAAGATTAATACTATTATCTACAAATCTCGATCTTCAAATATAAGTAATTTAAAGGCAGAGATGTGGTCTAGCTTGCTCACTGTTGTATTCCAGTATCTATTCCAGAGATTGGCACAAACTAAATACTCAGTGGCTACTAATTAGATGAACGAATAGGTGTAATTTTTGGTCCAAACATAATTTACAGTTTAATAGAAATTTTAAAATATGCATATCCATGTCAAAGGAACTGCTGGATTAACAGGTTGTAATTATAATTCTGGTTAGCAAAAGAAAAAAAGATTGAAACTTAAACTGTTTATTCTGTGATCTCTTTTTTCAGTTTAGTCATAGCGAGGGAATTTTTTTCTATTCCTTGCTGGGTTCGACCATTTGAAAAGTTTGAAATAATTCTCTGAATGTGTAGGTGCTGTTTCCTGGCAATAAGATTCAAGAAACTGTTGTTGCAAACACTTATTTTGTATTAACTGTTGATGCTGTGTATTTGTATTTAACTTATGAAAGAATTGTTTTAAGTTAACGTTTATGGATCATGCAAATACAATGAATATGGTCAGTAGTCTTAGGTATGGTCTCCTAAAATAATAAATTATGTTTTATTTTAGAATGGCATTTAAATGATAAGCATCAGTTTATTTCACTATGACTTAAATGTCCATCTCTTACAAAGAAAAGTATGAAAATGGCCACAAGGGTAGCCTTTAAATCTTTTTGAAAGAGCAAAGGAATAGAACACTAAGTAACAATGTTTCCCAAAGTTGGCTTTTAATAATTTTTTACATATTTTTATAATGGCTATACTAGCTTTAAGTAATATAAAACTAGCTTTAAGCTAGTTATACTAGCTTTAAGTAATATAAAAACTAATATGATTTACTGCTATTTACCAAGAAGACAAATAGATAACCTTATAGAAATGTCAATATTATTATTCTTGTCATTAAATGAGATACTTGTGTTTTTGTTTGCTTGCTTGGGTGGTTTTGAAAGAGCATCTTAAATAATAATGGAGCTGGCTGGTTTTTCCTGGGTAAAAAACACAACCTGTAGGCACACAAATACCACCAACTTAAAAGATTTAATGAGGTTTTCACGGTAACTTAGTTAATCCTAAACCAAAATGCGATACTGGAAGTTTTGGGGTTTTTTTTGTTTGTCTGTTTACCACACGGCCTTTCTTTCACGGTCTCTTCACCTGATAGTAGTCATTGTTAGCCTGGATTTTTTAATTTTTATTTTTAAAGCTTTTGTCAAATACTGGAAGGGATGCTGTGATGCGTAGTAGTAACTTTGATTCGCTTTAACATCCTATGTTTAGGGATTCCTTAGGCCTCTAAGTGCTCTTTGTTCAGCCCTTTCAGGGTAGACATGGAATATGTGGCTTGGAGATTACAAAATCAAAGATACAGTGATGATGTGTTGTGGTTTCTCAGGAATCCCTGTTCTACAAGCAGAAGTTAAAATCATTTTATGTTAGGAAGATCGACAACTCTGAAGCAGTATGGTAGCTAAAGCAAGAAAATTTTGGTTTGCTGGTTTTGCTCACATGAGAGAAGAAGGGCATACTTCTACATTTGCCCCTTTTGATTCAAGTTGAAGTTCCTGAACAAAGTTACCAGAGTTGATGGAATCCCACTGAAATGCTTTGTTTTGTTTTTGGAAACAAGCTTCCTCCTCACCCCTAGTGAACTGGGAAATAGATGGAGGGATTTTGCAATATGATGACATTCCAGGGCACATTTTAGTTGTTCTAGTTACTGAAATGCTAGGTTAGAAGGGTATATTGGCTGTATCCTCATGCGGTCTGGCTTTGACATATCTCTCACAGCCAATGGCCAGGCTACTGGCTGGGAGGGTGCCCCCTTCTTCCCCTTCTGGTTAGATGATGCCTGGCTGTTGTGGACAGATGGGAGTCTGTGTGCTTGCCATGGGGGATGTAGACATCACCCAAAGTGAAACATTGTCATCCTTCGATTAAAGGCTGTAGGAGACATTTGTAAATTATTACCTTAATGTACAGTAAGTGTTGAGCTGTTTCTGTGATCATGCACATTTCCGGGAACTGTAATATTGGAAACAAATGTAGGGGTGGCCCCAGCTGAATAATTCTTGGCCAGACAGGTTAAATCTTTTGATCAATCTCACAACCTCTCTTTAAGTGGCAGAATGGACTGCATTCTCAGTCCTGTACAATAGAGGTGCAAGTGTGTTTCTCAGCGTGCTAAAGGAATATTATTTGCATATTAAGTAGAACTTCTTAAATGATTTTTGAGATGCTTGAGACTTTCCTCATGGAGTGATTTGGATATGAGCAGTGATCACGCATGTCACTTTTGAGCAGCTGTTGAAGAAGGCAGAACATGATTATGTCACGTGCTTAATCTATTACATCTGGTAGCTAGAAAAACTCAGATATTCTCTGATAGTTAGAAGAGGAAATCTCTCCTTTTTTGGAGCATTTCTATCAAAAACTCTGTTTTAAACCAGGAATTTTGGTTACTCAGCAGTGGCGCTTAGTTCAGCTGCCCTTTGCAGGGCACACGGAGGAAGGATTTTATATAAAGTGACTTTTGAATGACTTCATTGCCCTAATGCTGTACAGTTCTATAATTTTGGATAGAAAGGAGAGCTGTGATCATTTTTGTCGTGGGACAATTTTATTTTGGCCTTTGAACATCCCCATGACCCACTGAGACAGAGCCTTGATCAGATGAGGCCCTGGAAGGTTTTCTTCTTTTCCTTTATCCTGGGTTGGGAAACATTTTAAACTTTTTACGTTAGACCTTCTTCACCAAGACTTCAGGTCCACCGTATTCATTTCATTTTTGGTTTAAAGGTCCACCACATTCATTTCATTTTTGGTCTAAGAGTGCCTGGGCTTTAATCATAAGGCATTTTGTGTGGTCATTTTAGCACCTTTATTTTATCCAAAAGGTAGACTTCATCTTTGCCCAAAGCTTCATTGCTATAGGAACTGAACAGAGGATTTCCTTGGAGAACGTCTGCATTGAGTAATCTCTAAGCAACTGCCTCTAGTTTTGACAGCAACCCTTAACTTCATGAGAAGAAATCCACTGTGATTCGGATACTTCTGCAAGCATGTGGTTTGAAGGAGACCGTAGTAAAACCTACTTACTTGAAAATTGTTTTCTTGGCTTTTTAAGAAAAGTATTTATTAAATCCATTGAATTAGTTATAGTCCTCTTATTACTTATCTTTTTCTGTTACTTTGGCCAAAAATGTTTAGCATAATGAGCCTCTCAAAGAGTAGCTATTGAGACATGAAGAGTGCATTTCTTTGGCTCTGATTATTCAAGTGATTTCATAATAAGCAGAAGTAGTATTGTATTTTTTGATGTGGAATACTTGGCAATATCCCCTCCTCCCTCCTACAGAGAGCACGAAATTAACGATACCTTTGAAGTAACATCCATCTCTTCTGTACCAGGTCACTTCGGGTGGAACATTCATTGGCATCGGACGGAAAACTCCAGATTGCCAGGGAAACACCAAGTACTTCCGCTGCAAATTCTGCAATTTCACTTACATGGGCAACTCCTCAACTGAACTAGAACAACATTTTCTTCAGACGCACCCGAACAAAATCAAAGCCTCTCTCCCCTCCTCTGAGGGTGCGAAACCTTCAGAGAAAAACTCTAACAAATCCATCCCTGCACTTCGGTCCAGTGATTCTGGAGACTTGGGAAAGTGGCAGGACAAGATCACGGTCAAGACGGGAGATGACACTCCTGTTGGCTACTCAGTGCCCATCAAGCCCCTCGATTCCTCGAGACAAAATGGTACAGAGGCCACCAGTTACTACTGGTGTAAATTTTGTAGTTTCAGCTGTGAGTCATCTAGCTCGCTTAAACTGCTAGAACATTATGGCAAACAGCACGGAGGGGCGCAGTCAGGCGGCCTTAATCCGGAGTTGAATGATAAGCTTTCCAGGGGCTCTGTCATTAATCAGAACGATCTAGCCAAAAGTGCAGAAGGGGAGCCAATGACCAAGGCAGACAAGGGCTCTAGTGGGGCTAAAAAGAAGGACTTCTCCAGCAAGGGAGCAGAGGATAATATGGTAACGAGCTATAATTGTCAGTTCTGTGACTTTAGATATTCCAAAAGCCACGGCCCTGACGTCATTGTAGTGGGGCCGCTCCTCCGTCACTATCAGCAGCTCCATAACATCCATAAATGTACCATTAAGCACTGCCCCTTCTGTCCCAGAGGCCTTTGCAGCCCAGAGAAGCACCTTGGAGAAATTACTTACCCCTTTGCTTGTAGAAAAAGTAATTGTTCCCACTGTGCACTCTTGCTTTTGCACTTGTCTCCGGGGGCAGCCGGAAGCTCGCGAGTCAAACACCAATGCCACCAGTGTGTGTTCTCCACCCCTGACGTAGATGTCCTCCTCTTCCACTACGAGAGTGTGCATGAGTCCCAAGCTTCGGAGGTCAAACAGGAAGCCAACCACCTGCAAGGATCGGATGGGCAGCCGGCTGTCAAGGAGGGCAAGGAACACTCATGCACCAAATGTGATTTCATTACCCAGGTGGAAGAAGAGATTTCCCGACACTACAGGTAAGCCATTGGGGGGGCGGGGAGGAGCGATGTCAAAGAAAATGATCCAAAGAATCCAGAGGGCTGATCCCAGAATCGTCGGGAATGATTGTGATGACTTGGGGAAGTTATGGGACAAGTAAACGTAAAAGACCGTTCATAAAACTGCAGATTATGTATTTATCGAGGTGGTAACCACAGATTTTAATATGGTCACTTGTTTCAGACCGTTTACTCTTATTCTTCATACCCGTTCTCTGCCGTTTGCGGGGCAGTCTTTTACAATTCACGGTGATGACGGTAATGCTGATGAGGTCACTCATTTACCACAATTCATGGATTTGTCCTTGCCAGGGGGCTCCGCATCCCATCGTTTTTGATGGGGCCCGCTCCCAAATGAAAGGTGCCATTGTCCTGTGTTCTCTTCTCTATTCCAGCTGGGAAGCAATCAGCTTGAGGACAGGTTGCTCATTTTTCTTTTAAAATGAGATTGGACATTCTTCTGGCTTTAAAAAAAAAATTTGAGCAACATCCTCATTTCTCAAAGAAACAGTAATCTGAAGGTGAGAATTCTGCAAGAGGTGTGACTTTGAATTTCTCTATGCTCACTCCTCTGAGTGGGTAAAGCCACAGTTATTATAGATCCATAAGCAGAGATATAAGATACATTCATGTTTTTTTTTTCACTTTCATCCTATTCTCTTTTTAAATGTTACTTTTCCCAGTTAATCTTTCATATTTTCTTTTTTTTTTTAAGATTTTATTTATTTATTTGACAGAAAGAGAGAGAGAGCACAGGCAGGGGGAGCGGCAGAGGGAGAGGGAGAAGCAGGCTCCCCGCTGAGCAAGAAGCCTGATGTGGGACTTGATCCCAAGACCCTGTGATCGTGACTCCAGCCAAAGGCAGTCGCTTAACCGACTGGGCCACCCAGGCACCCCAGTCTTTCACATTTTCTAAAGATGGGTCTAGGATACATCTCTTTATTTCATTTATACATTAATTCCTTAATGAATTAGCTCCAAAAATACACATTGTGCCAGGCATTGATGATAAAGGAGAACACAAGACAAACCTAGTCTGTGCCCACATGGAACTTACAGTTTAGTAGGGAAGTCATTAGTGGATCATTATGAGTACAAGTGTCACAACAGATGAAGTAGAGACCCCTGTGTTTGAATAGAATGACCACAAAGCCCAATATGGTAGATGAGGAGCATTTAACCTGAGGAAGGAGCCTCCCTGAGGAAGAAGCATTTAACCTGAGACTTGGCCATATGAGGGGAATTTGTTTAGCAAAATCCTGGTAATACAGCACGTTCAGATGTTACTTAGTGTTCAGTGGGTGCTTTCTTGTTATTGTGCCTCTAAGCATCAAAGCAAAGAGCTTTATTTACTATTTTTAAATGTTTTTTCCTCTGTAGACTCAGTATCCTAGTTTAAAAATCTTCCCATTCCAAGATTTTAAACAGTTTCTTAAACAGATTTTAATTTTCCCATCGCAAGAGTTTGAACAGTTCCTCCCATTCTTTTTAGGAGTTGTGTGTCCGTGTGAGTGTGTGTGTGTTGTCAATCACCAGTAACGAAGCAGTTCATGTCCAACAATAGGCTAATAATGTTCGATGTTAATTTGAAGGGCATCCTAATGTTCACAGTGAATCTAAATGTTCAGAAAACACTTCCTTGAGATTTACACTGTTTAATTTATAAGGTCAGCCCTAGGAAAGACACAGTCCTGTAATCAAATATGTGTTCACACTTGTAGTGAGTGTTCCTGCCTCCTCTGATGTTAGCTGCATGCTAATTTATTTCTGGGCTAACAGACATTAGCTTCCTCCTGAGCTTTACCAGTGTGCATATACATGTGTTAGGTGGTATAAAAATTAGGTAATCCATTCTATTTTTGAAAGAGGAGGCTTTCCTTAATCTTGAGGAAATTAGCCACACCGCACCACACCACACCACACCGCACGCGCGTGCGCACACACACACTGATACATCTGGATACCAGATCACTTGCATGAGTGGCTTTTTTTGAGGATGCTGAGGCCATTGCTTGAAAATGTGTCTGGAAAAGCAGAGTTTCTATACGCTTTGGTTAGACAAAAAAAAAAAAAAACTCCCAAGAAATAAAAGTATGAATAAAAATATTACTGAATAATCTCAGTTTAGTTAATAGTAATGAAAATAAGCTCTTGAGGGAAGAAACTAGTCTTGTCTTGTTCACTGCCGTATCTACACAATTTAGCACAGTGTCAGAATGGCTAATAAGTGCTCAGTGAGTAGATCTTTAAGTAAATGAAATGCCTGTGAGTTTTTTACTTCACGTCGTTAAGGATAAGCCAAGATCTCCATGGTGAGTTACAGTTTAATCTCAGACTATTTTATGGTGTTGAAACCCTTCTGAAGACTTAGGGCTCCACACCAAATGACAGTTGTCTGTGCATTTTGAATTTAAGTCAACCTTTTAGCAATTTTTAGATGAGAAAACTGAGCAATACTTGTTCCTAGGGCATTAAAATCCTCCTGCACTTACTTTTAAAAAAGATTATATTTATATATTTGAGAGAGAGAGAGAAAGAGCGAGCATGAGTGAGGTGGGGGGCTGGTGGGGAGGGGCAGAGGGCGAGGGAGAAGCAGACTCCCCGCTGAGCAGGGAACCTGACACTGGGCTTGATCCCAGGACCCCAGGATCAATCATGACCTGAGCCAAAGGCAGACGCTTAACTGACTGAGCCACCCAGGAACCCCATTCCTGCACTTATTATTAAAACCTGCTCTGGGGTGCCTGGGTGGCTCAGTCATTAAGCGTCTGCCTTCGGATCAGGTCATAATGCCGGGGTCCTGGGATCAAGCCCCACATCAGGCTCCCTGCTTGCAGGGAAGACTGCTTCTCCCTCTTCCACTCCCCCTGCTTGTGTTCTTGCTCTCGCTATCTCTCTCTGTCAAATAAATAAAATCTTTAAAAAAAGAAAACCTGCTGTAATTCATGTGGTCCTGGATTAAGGTACTGAGTAGTTTTTCACTGATCTGTTTATGAGTTCTTGTAGAAATATTTGCAATTTGGACACTTAAACTTTCAGAAATTCTACTGAACGTTGAACAACAGTGAAGGTTCTAGGATGTGAAAGGAGATAGTCCTATGGATGCTGAAAACTTGTTCTGCTATCAAAGCATTTTCCCCACATGCTACATTTTGAAGATAATATAAGAGGACAAGTTTACCATATCACAAGAATATTTTTCTGGTTAAATTTATGTTTATTCATATTATACATGTTTGGAAACTTTCTCCATAATTCTGTTGTAACTAGGGAATATTCTAGGCTTTTGAGTGCTTTATGTATTAGTCTTATGGTGTAGTAAAAAGGTAGTAGAAGCTAAGATCTATAAAATACATGAAATCAGGTAGCTATAAAAAAAAAAAAACTACAGCTGAGAAGCAGGAGAGTTGATTGAGAGTTATGAGTGAAAACTTTGGTGTGGATTCCACTCAGTGGGCATTTTCAAGAATCAGGTTTAATCTTGGTTGAACTGCAAACATTATTCAGTCAGTAACTGGAACTTGGTCAATTCTCTTTTCTTAATGTTTCATATTTACTTATGTTACCCCTAGCTCACATTTGACTGACTTACTATGTTCTACTCCTGCATTTGTTCCCCACACTGTTTGTTTTATTATTTATTATTTAAACAGTATATCCATTCTCTAATTGATTACCTACCATTCTCCTCACTAGAATTTTTTGTGTTATAACTTGGGTTTCTGGAGTAAGTAGGAGTACTGTCTCCTCACAAAACAACTATAGTAGATAAAACGTACTTTTCAAAGCCTTGCTAGACTTCCATGAGTTAGAGAAATTTCTGAAGCTTTTCTCGTCTTCCCTTTACCAAGAGTGGACTAAACCCAGACTGGGGAGAAGTGAAGAGCAAGCGTGGAGTGTAATGTTGTGCTGAGACAAATACCAGTATTGATGTAGGTCAGTCAGGAGACTACACCTGGAGTCACTGACAGCAAGCGGCTGGTGAATCTGTTTTACGTTAAGCTGGACCTTGAAGGTGGCTGAAGTGATTCCACATTTAGAGCCTCCTCTGACTCCTGTCAGAAATAAACACAAGTTTGTCTATATGAAATACTCCAATTTTCACCTCCATGATATCTGTGGCAGAAGATAAACCTTAGATGAGTCCATTTTTATAGAAATTAACCATATAGGAAGGGATTTAAACCATTCTATGGGAAATCAGTGGGAATTGCAAATAATGGATCTAGATACCAGGAAAATGATAAGTTATAAGAATATAATATATTCTTAGTTATAAGAAAGCTATAAAATATAATACTTTTCAGTTATAAAAAATAATGTGTTTAAAGAAATGAAAATCAAATCTATAAACTGATCAAACTCCATGAGAATATAAAGGATTAGAAATGTTCAAGAAAAGAAACAAATAGTATTTTTTGAATTGAAAATATAATTATTGAAACTTAAAATGTGGATAGGTTCAATAACAGATTGGGAAATGGTAGAAGGCAAATAAATTAGTCACAAGTTAAATCTGAAGACATTAGCCAGAATATTTAAAAGAGGGGGATGGAAAGTATCAAAAGTAGACAGTAGGTTATAGAAATGTAATAAGCTGTTTTAACCTGCATCTAATTAGAGTCCTAGGAGAAAAGAATATAGAGAATGGAAGATAGGCAAATAGTATTTGAGGAGATAATGGCAGAAGATTTCTAGAACTGAAAGATGAAAGACATAAGCACACAGATACAGAAAAGCATAGCTTATACTAAACAGGGACATATGCAAATAAATTCAGTCACAGACACGTTGTAGTAAAAATTAAAATGCCAGAGAGGTCCTTTTGGAGCCCCCAGAGAGAAACAACATATCAACTACTTAGAAAAGACAATTAGGTTGACAGCAGACTTTATAGGCCGCGATGGAAAACAGAAGAGGAAGGAATTCTATTTAAGGTTTGAAAGGAAAAAAACAAACACAAAAATAGTCAACCTAGA